CGTAAAGAAAGCTGAGTGCCGAAGAATAGATGCTTTTGAACTATGGGGTTGAAGAAGACTCTTGAGAGTCCCTTGGACAGCAAGGAGATCCAGCCAGTCCCTCCTAAAGCAAATCAGTCATGGGTGTTCATTGGAAGGACTGATTTTGAAGGTGAAACTCCAATACTTTGGCCACCTGATGCGAAGAGTTAATTCATTGGAAAAGACCCTGATGCTGGGAGGGATTGGGGGCAGGAGGAGAAGAAGACGACAGAGGATGAGATGGTTGGATGGCATCACCAACTTGATGGACATGAGTTTGAGCAAGCTCCGGGAGTTGTTGGTGGACAGAGAAGCATGGCGTGCTGCAGGCCACGGGGCCACAAAGAGGCAGACACGACTGAGTGACTGAACTGAGCTGAGTAATGTGATGTGAATGTAAGTACGGCATAGGACTTTGTATGTGACAAAATATTTTTTAACCATAAAATCCAACCCTAGCATGGCAGCTTAGTCACACTGTGTCTGTTGTGCCGAACTGTAGCCGTGGAGCAAGCAGCTCCTGACCCTGGGCGACTTTTGCAACGTGCACACCTCGAGCCTGTGGGCCACCCCAACCAACACTGGGCTAGAGTCTGTGGTGGATGAGGATGCAGAAGGAATGAGGGCCCTGGGGATGGCGGGGTAACACAAATTTGATTTTGGTTCAGGAAGATAGGAAATTAGTGTTTCTGAAGCAGAAAAGTGAGCTGGAAGAAATGCCATGAACATGCAAGAAACGTCAGCTGCTTACCTCATTGAAACAAGATTGGTTGAACATAGTGATCATTAGAGTGTTCTAATGGACTCACTGTGGAGGCAGCATAGTGAATCTGAGTTGTTGAGAAACTGCCTTTTAGTTTACTATTCACATATTGTTGTCCCAACCCCTGCCAGAAAAAAAGGGCGGAATTTGTTTGGCATATACTCTCTGCTGACAATGGACCTGAATTTGTGGACAGACATGGAATCAATTTAGAAAACTTCCTCTTCAGAATTGGTTCACATCCCATCCTTTATAGAGACAGGCTCTTCTGTTTTTAACAGAGGGCTGTAACTGGAAGGAGACTGTAAACGTAACTGGATTTCAGCTGAAAGCAGACTCAGGTTGAAAATGCTTTAATGCAACATTCAGAGTGAAAAACCCAGACAAGAGATTTACTGAACTAAAGCACTGCAGTGATGAACTACAGTCTGTCATCTCATATCTTCTTTGAGTCAGAGCTAGAGTAGTAGATTGACTGCATAGTGTATATAAAGTGCATGGAAATTATGGGCAGGTTTTCAGTGAGTGATGTGCCACAGTAAAAGAAATGGGTGATGGACTGCAGAGTGCTGGTCATCACATGGATGTGCATGCATCTTCTGTTGATGATAATTTGGAAAATAGGAACATTATGCAGATCAGTTAAAGGAGTATCCTTTTCATACAGATGCGCTGCAGGTGTGTGCACGAAACCTGACTGACTTAGATAGTATGACTTGGAGATGGCTGCTAAGGACTTAGCATCCAAGAAGCAGCAACATGAGGAACTTGCTGCTGGGACCTTGAGAACATTTTCTTTGAAGGGAATGACTACCAAGCTCTTTGGTCAAGAAACTCCAGAGCAAAGAGAAGCCAGAATAAAGATGCTAGGAGAACGAATAAGTGAAGGAGAGCAACAGCTTAAGTCTAAAAATCTGGAAAGAGAGAATTTGTCTTGGGTTGATATTTAATGCTTGGGCTGATATTGAATGCTTCAGAGAACAAAAGAACTGTGATTTAAAGGAGGCCTTCCTAAGCTTTTCAGTCGTGGAGATCAGTATGTGTAAAAATGGAATTCATGTTTGGACCAGTGTTAAAGAATGCTTTAGCAAGATGTAGTCGTGTGAAATGAATTTCTCTTCAATTGAAGTACCCCAAAACAGAAGCCCAAGTAAATTAAAAAAGAAAATTCAAGTTGTTACCCAGCATACACAAAAATACATAGTAAGTTGAGAAATTCAACTTTCTTTGATTTGGCTGTGGTTGTATTAACATAGCCCAGAAGGATGTGTTTTAATGAAGATTAAATATTCTGATCTGAGGTTTGGGGGACTGTTGCTGATTCTAAAATGTTGATTAGATAAAATAGCCAACAGATTGTCACTTCTGAACCAGTGGCTGAATATCAAGGTATTAGGTCATTTCCAGATGTTCGTTTCAGTGCCTGCTGCTTCATATCTGCTCATGTGGGGAGTTTTTTCCCCTAAGATTGAATTCTTATCTTGATTTGGTAAGACCCACTAATCTCTCATAAGGGGTTAGTTTTTCTTGCCTTATAGTTGAGCTGTTTGGTTTGATAAAGCTCAGCTGAAACTTAGTGTAAAATCTTAAGTTTTTTCTCCCACATTCTTTAATGCCTCCAAACATTACATGCATTAAGACAATGCCTTCAATGTATATTTTACCAGGATTTTGATACAGATCAAAAATTTTATACTCACAACAAAGAAGACTCACCTTTTTAGATGTATAGTGGAATAATACATTGTTAGGGTCTAGGAATTGCTATACAGAAAGTTTTGAGTATGTTAAATATAAGCATTAAATCCTCAAATAATTCTTAGCCTCATCGATGAGCCTAAATTTACTCTGCTTGGCCCTCTGCACATGGTATTTCAGGGTACAAGATGTAGCATTTCAATGTATAATATATATGTAGTGAACATATGTGTTAGGATCTTTACTATGAACATCCTTTTTTATTGCTTGGCAGTAATTTTTATAAAGATAAATTATATTGCTTTTGTGTGTGTGTTTTTGTGTTATATATTCAGAAGCCAAGAATCTTTGGTATGTTGCTAGCTTTGCAGAACCCTTTGTGTGTACTCATTATTACTAATTATGTAAAAAAAATTTTTCAATAGTTTAGCGTTTGACTTTTTTATGTTTGAAATGTTGCTGAATTTTTTGCTGTTTGCCAAACTTATGAAATAAATGTGTTGATTTAAAAAAAATTCCAACTCTAGTGGATTTTAGATTTTTTTTTTTTAATGAATTGGAAAAGAACAGCTTCCTGTGTCCTTTTCCCAGGGTTTTTTTTTTTTTTTTTTTAATTTTCTGTTTGTTTTTTACATGCTAGCTTTATTACCTAGATTTTCTGATATGGTGGAAGACTTTTCCTTTTAAACATTATGGTTGCTGTCATGTAGGAATAATTCTTCAGAGTTTATTTTCTGCTGTTTTAAGTTACTTTCAAATGAGAGTTTTTCAAGTGTATAGATTTAATAATGATTGAATAGAAGGATTCATTTAAAAGATTTTGCTTCCTTCTTCACTAGAGATAGCTTATAATGTTTTATTTTGTTTTGTTTTTGCTCTTTAACTTTCTCTTCAAAACAGGTACCAAAAAGAGGTATACATTAAAAAAAAATATCTGTTTCTAATTGTTTAAAGAGCTTTTTAGTGTTATTAATAAGTAATATTATAATAAAGGTATAGCTTATATCTTTTAAATTTTATGTATGGGTAGGGCTTTGAAGTAAGATGTTTACTCTTACTCATTGGCCATGGAAACACTCAATGTAGACACATTGCGATTATTTTCCAGTAAATATTACAGATGGAAATCCAGTTTTTTGGTGAATTGAATAAGGTATTGAAGGAGGTCAGGGCCTTACACATCTAGAAGACCTAGTTTTAAGTTCCAGTTTAGCATTTATTGATAACTGTGTATAAGTCAGTAACCTATTGACATTCAGTTTTTTGGTTTATAAGTTTGTGATGATAAAGTCTACCTAGCTACTTTTATGGAATTCCATTTAATTAAAATACCTTATTTTTGGTTTGCGTATATGTACTTTATAAACAGTAGTATACGATAACTTGGGTTTTTAAATTTTTTTTTTCTACTTATAGTTTTACTATAGCAAAAGAATACAGATTAGAAAAAAGAAAGATACACACGGGGAAAGACTTGGAATGTCCCATAGATAGAGCTTCTAGTTGTCCTTTCTCTGTGGAGTCCAGGCCCATCACCTCCCCCTGGTGACATACTCAAAACATACTGCCAGCTCAGTAGCTTGCCTGATCTTCAGTCTCTAGATTTTTATTGAGGCTTCATTTCATAAACAGTATTTGTTATATTGTTGCCCATGTGGTTGAACTCAGTTTCCAGCTTCCTTTCCCAGAGCTTGAGTTGGTGTGTCTTTACCCAAAGCTCTATTAAACCTTTAAGGGTGTGTGTTTTTGGCACTGCTAGCCAACATGGGGATTTTTATTGCCACTGTCATCCAGGGGAGGTATGTTTAGAAGGAGTGATACGACTTTACAGAAGTAAGAGATAGAGATGAAATTGAACTACCAAGCATTACACTAGATGCTTTCAGGTCTGTTACCTGTCTTGAGTCTCACAACCACTTTATTTAAGCATGAATATAATATTAGTAACCCCTATTTTGTAAATGAGAAAACCAAGGCTCACAGTATCATAAGATAGGTATATAAAATCACCTACCCTCCCTAATGATGAAACTGCTATTCAAACCCAGCCATAGCATATCTGGACTTTTCTGTTGTATTAATTAGGAATTTACCTTGATGAAATTTTGTCATTATTTATTTCATTGAATATAATTAAAGATATAAAGTTGAACTCAGTGTAATGTCTATATATTCTCAATATAATGTCGACATTCTATATAATGTCTATATACACTATATACAATTTGTAAATTGTATATAGTGTATTAGTTAATTGTCAGTGTCTTTTGTTTCATTCATTAGATGAGTTTCTAAAGCTTTATATAAATGAAATTATGAGTCATGTCCTGTCTATATGTCCCAAACAAAAGGCAACTTAAAGAAATTCTGTTTATTTTTGAAAAAGAATATACTTGTTCTTTATGTAAATTTGAAGGCTTGTATGATTTTAAGCATTAAGTGGGGTATACTCCCTGATGTATTTGAAATTTAAAAACCCTTGAGAATTGTAACAGAACCTTTCTTTTGTTTTTACTAGGTATTAGACAAACCCAGTAGGCTAACTGAAAAGGAACTTGCTGAAGCTGCAAGCAAGTGGGCCGCTGAAAAGCTAGAGAAGGCAGATGAGAGTAACTTACCCGAAATTTCTGAGTATGAGGTAAGGCATAATTTCTTCTTTATTTGTCTGGATTTTAAATTATAGATGAAATTTTGGTTTCTTCTAGTGTTTTAAAATGTATTTGGGGAAAATGTCCTCATGAATTACTAAATTTTACCACAGATAGTAATAAAATGAATATGAATTACTCTGAATTCAGTAATTTTACTATGTCTGAATGTCTCTTGTAGTTTAGAAGTGTAAGAATGGTATAAATGTGGAGTATTAGGAAGATGCAGTATTTATATATGCTGCTTTTATGAGCTTTTAAAAGTATTTCTAGAAATGCTAAGCCACCAGTCATAAATCAGTGAATTTAGAACAAAAATCTAATTAAACCTTGGATCTGGATTATATTTATATTGCATGCTATACTCTATGCAAATTTTTTCATATATATCCCAAGAAATGCAATTATGCATTGTTTGGTTTACCTGTGATTTTTGATGAATCTTGAGTACCAAAAAATGGGAACATTTTTGGGTCCACAGAATATGCTTTATAAAATGTTTGCATTAAAATATTTGAAAATGTACTGAAAATTTTTTCTGTAACCTGTAAAAGAAATACAGATATTTTGTGGGCAAAGTGAATCTTCTAGATTCAGGATTTGTTACTAGAGAAATTATTTTGACATGGCAGAGAATATAAAAATCTCTGTACCGTGATAGATTATATTTGGAAGAGATTTCTGACTTTATGTTTCTGAATGCCTTTTAAGAAAGGTCCTCTGATAAAAGAGATGAAATGTTGGAGCTCAGTGTGTAAATCACATACCCGCGTGCATCTTAGTACACTGTGGAAGGACCTTTCCAAAGGAACTAATATACACTGCTCATGGAAAGTACAGATCAGTACAAACCCTGTCAGTGCTTACAGAAATAGAGCCTTTCTCTTTTAAAATGCTGACGTGTCCTTGTCATTTAGCTATCAGTTTTTCTTACATAGGCCACAGTTTCCTTATTACTGCAGAGATAGTAACAGGTATTTATGCATATTCTCAAGTAAAGGTATCAAAAATATCAAGCTGTTTCTCTTTGGTACCTCTCTAGTGCTATTTCTTATTTTTTTTCTTTTAATTGGAGGCTAATTACTTTACAATATTGTAGTGGTTTTTGCCATACATTGACATGTGTCCCCCATCCTGACCCTCCCACCCACCTCCCTCCCCATCCCATCCCTCAGGGTCATCCCAGCGCCCCAGCCTTGAGTGCCCTGTCTTATCCATCAAACCTGGACTGTCGGTCTGTTTCACATATGATAATATACACGTTTCAATGCTATTCTCTCAAATCATCCCACCCTCACCTTCTCCCACAGAGTCCAAAAGTCTGTTCTTTACATCTGTGTCTCTTTTGCTGTCTTGGATACAGAGTCATCATTACCATCTTTCTAAATTCCATATATATGTGTTAATATACTGTATTGGTGTTTTTCTTTCTGACTTACTTCATTCTGTTTAATAGGCTCCAGCTTCATCCACCTCATTAGAACTGATTCAAATGCATTCTTTTTAATAGCTGAGTAATAGTCCATTGTGTATATGTACCACAGCTTTCTTATCCATTTGTCTGCCGATGGATGTTTTAGTTGTTTCCATGTCCTAGCTATTGTAAACAGTGCTGTGATGAACACTGGGGTACACGTGTCTCTTTGAATCCTGGTTTCCTCTGTATATATGCCCAGCAGTGGGATTTCTGGATCGTATTGCAGTTCTATTTCCAGTTTTATAAGGAATCTCCACACTGTTCTCCATAGTGGTTTTACTAGTTTGCATTGCCACCAACAGTATAAGATGGTTCTCTTTTCCCTGCACCCTCTCCACCTTGTATTGTTTGTAGCCATTCTGACCAGCGTGAGATGGTACCTCATTGTGGTTTTGATTTGCATTTCTCTGATAATGAGTGATGTTGAGCATTTTTTCGTGTGTTTGTTAGCCATCTGTATGTCTTCTTTGGAGAAATGTCTGTTTAGTTCTTTGGCCCATTTTTTGATTGGGTTGTTTATTTTTCTGGAATTGAGCTGCATAAGCTGTCTAGCACTGTTTCAATGCATGAAGAGTATTACATTTAATAGGGTCATTTAACTATTTTCCTTAAGAATTTAGAGTAATAGTTTTTATATTAATAATAGAAGTATGTACTTTAAAGCTGCTGATTTTGATGTCTGATAATTTTTCTCAGAGTAATTAAACCAAAAGCTTCCAAAAAATACTTAATTTTTTGTTTGCTATTGTATCTTCAATTATTCTTGTTGTTGAGTCACTAAGTCACATATGACTCTTCTGCGATCCTGTGAACTATAGCTTACGAGGCTCCTCAGTGTGTGACATTTTCCAGGCAAAATACTAGAGTGTATGGCCATTTTCTTCTCTATGGGATTATCTCAATTGGATCAAACCCATGTCTCCTGCATTGGCAAGCAGATTCTTTATCACTGAGTCACCAGGAAAGCCCACATATCTTTAGTTAGAAAAGCTTTTATGAAGATTATTCATTCTCCCTCCTTGTCATTTTGATATCTCTTAATTTAAAAAATCAAATCCCACTGGCCTTCAAAGTCAAATTCCCTGGGGGTTCTCAGTCCCTTTACTGGATCCCCAGTTTGGGAAATCTGTTGTGGGCCCTAGAACTTTCACAACAGTGCGCAAACCTCTTTGGCATAATTGTTCTCCAGTTTGTGGGTTGTCTGCTTGGTGGCTCTGTGGTGGGGTTCATATGCCGCACCTCCCAGGTCTGCTGTAGCCAGAGCCCCTGTCCCCGCAGCAGGCCACAGCTGACCTGTGCCTCTGCAGGAGACATCCAAACACACAAAGGCAGGTCTGGCTCAGTCTCTTGTGGAGTCCAGAATCACTGCAGATGGTGACTGCAGCCATAAAATTAAAAGACATTTGCTCCTTGGAAGAAAAACTTTGACAAAACTAGACAGCATATTAAAAAGCAGAGACATTACTTTACTGACAAAAGTCCATACAGGCAAAGCTATGGTTTTTCCAGTAGTTGTGTATGCTGTGAGAGTTGGACCATAAACAAGGCTGCACAGCGAAGAATTGATGATTTTGAACTGTGGTATTGGAGAAGACTTTTGAGAGTCCCTTGGATAGCACGGAGATCACACCAGTCAATCCTGAAGGAAATCAGTCCTGAATATTCATTGGAAGGACTGATGCTGAAGCTGAAGCTCCAATACTTTGGCCACTTGACTGGAAGAACTGACTCATTGGAAAAGACGCTGATGCTGGGAAAGATTTAAGGCAGGAAGAAAGGGATGACCGAGGATGAGGTGGCTGAATGGCATTACCGACTCAATGGACGTGAGTTTGAGTAACCTCCAGGAGAAGCCTGGCATGCTGCAGTCCATGGGGTCGCAAAGAGTTGGACACGACTGAGCAACTGAATTGAACTGAACTGAAATTTTAAAAAATGTTACTATCCATCTTTTCCAGTTTTTTATTATTCTGTTTATAGTCTTTTTTCATTTCTTGACTGAATCTCCACTCTGAATAGTCAGTAATATTGGGTCTTGAAAGATGTTTTTCCAGCACTCTTGTTTTTTCTCTATAATGTGCCCAGAATTTGCTAGATTTTGAGTGAATGAGAAGTCAGGAATCCTAAAATCTGTGTGTGGAGTCGTAGGTCAGAGATGATTTTCTTTTGGAGCAAAGGCAAGAGTACTGTTGAAATTACTATAGTATGTTTGTTAGTTGGTGTACATCATTAGTGTTCAGCAGCAGCTTCAGTCTTGTAGCATTGTTTGAAATGCCCTTCAAGTTTTGTTGATAGTCTTCCATACTGGAGAACAGGCATTTGGGAAATTCTTAGGATACTCTGTCTTTTGGGCAAGGATAGTCACATTTGTTTTTAGGCAGTTGTTAAATGGTTGCTCATTTCAGTGATCCATGTGTTTTTTTGTTTTTTTTTTTTTTTGAGATACAGACTTTTTAAGAATGTTGGCGTTGGTTCTATAAACTCCTATCTGATTTGAGGTGGAAAGACCTCGATGCTAGGGAAAAGTTTTGCATAGTCCTCTCTGTTTGTGTGTTTAGTGACAGTCTTTATATAACTGTCAAGAGAGGGGATTAAATATTTAGGTTTCCAGTTTGTCTTCTCTTGCTGTCATCAATATAGTTTTAAACAAGTTGGTTGGGAGACCATGTAATTTATAGATAGTCAGTGAAGTTGAAGATAAATTCAGTGCTATGCTTAAATATCAGGAATATTAGAGTTCACTATTCTGTTCAGATTTTTACTTTTACCTTTTGGACTCTAATAGGGAATTTCTGAAAGCATTTGATAGAATGATAGTATGTTAATGTGCTCATGGGTTATCTGTGACAAAAGAAACTGATAACGTTTGCATAATTTATCAAAATTTTGACTTTAAATTTTTGCAGAGTGCACATTTTAGGATTATGTTTTAAAGCATGTATGTTCAGGGACACTATATATACAAAATATATATACTATATATACAAAACTATATATACAAAATAATACTACACTGGCTTTCTCATAGTTTTTCACTAAATAGTCTATCTGCATCCGTTTGTATCAAACAGTGCATTAGAGGCACCATCCTGGCTTTCAAAGAGCTTTCAGTCAAATTTGGTAGGGATATAATTTACTGTCCATAAGCATGTGGCTATGAGAGCTTCCTTTTGGCTATCAAAATGAAAATCAAATTATTCAAAGGTTATTAGAAAGTCACAGTAGAACAAGTTGCTTCTTGCTGCAGAAGAAGATTTTAACATGTTTCTTGCTTAAATATGAAAGTGTGAATTATGTTGTTTCCACATGTCAGGTGTTATTTTCCACTTACCCTGTCCCTAAAGTATGCCCAGTGTCCATGGCTGTCTTTTTTTTTTTTTTTTTTAATATTTATTTATATTAGGCCTCGCTGGGTCTTAGTTGCAGTATGTGGGATCTAGTTCCCTGACCATGGATCAAACCTGGGTCCCCTGCACTGGGAGTGCAGAGTCCCAGCCACCGGGCCACCAGAGAAGTCCCCATGGCTGTCTTTTAAACTCAGATCTAGTCGGTGAAATCAGGAGGGCTTGAGATAATAAGATGCAATATCTTTCTTGATTCCGATTTTCTTCCCTGCTGTCTGTGCTTAGTTGTGTCTGACTCTCTGTAACCCTGTGGACTGTAATGTTTCTTCTGTCTCAAGCTTTGGCAGGTGGGTTTTTTTTTAACCACTGTGGCACCTGGGAAGCCCATTCTTCCCTTGCTATTGTAAAATTTTTTGCCACTATTTCACTGATGACCTTATATTGCCTTTATTAAAATTTTTTTTTCTTTTACCAGTCTGGTTATCTAGATAGAGAGGTAGAATACTCATGTCTTGTTTTCCCTCCAGTACCTTGCAAAATATATATCTCATGAACTAGACTGAATTTAATTACTAATAAGCACTTTTCTCAGAGAAGGCAATGGCAGCCCACTCCAGTACTCTTGCCTGGAAAATCCCATGGACAGAGGAGCCTGGTGGGCTGCAGTCCATGGGGCTGCTAAGAGTCCAACACAACTGAGCCACTTCACTTTCACGTTTCACTTTCATGCATTGGAGAAGGAAATGGCAACCCACTCCAGTGTTCTTGCCTGGAGAATCCCAGGGACGGGGGAGCCTGGTGGGCTGCCGTCTATGGGGTCGCACAGAGTCGGACACAACTGAAGCGACTTAGCAGCAGCAGCACATTTTTGTTGTAATCATTGATCTTCTTAGCTCTGAAGAAAGTTTTTATCCAGTATATCTTCCATTAGGTCTTTTTCTTGGGTAGTTTCTGTTGATTAATTCTTTGAATAAACCATACTTTGCTGTTTCTTTGTATAATTTTTTTGGTGCACTTTGGGTGTTTGGTTCTAACAGTGTGGTAACTCTGAGAGTCATATTCTCCCTCTTTTCTAGGGCTTGCTGGGGTTTTTTCAGTTGTTGTTGTTGTTACTGTTTTTTATTATTGGCCACTGTTTCTGTACTGAGGATCAGGCTGAGGTGAAAACTTTTAAAGTCTTCTTAGTTCTTTCTGAGCTTTTCCCTTGGTATACTCAGTTACTTTTTGTCTTCACCCATGTATACAGTTATTTTTAAATAAACATCCTTATCTTTAATGTCTTGCTCCCAAAAGAAGAAACATGAAAAATGAAGGTGGGGTGGCAGGGTGCTTGGCCTTTATATACCCTGGAAGTCACTTCAGCCAAAGTAAGTGGGGCTTGCAACAATGGGGGAGGTACAGTAACAATGGCTGTTCACCTCTTTGTCTGCACCTCTTGATCAGAAGCAGGAATTGGTGATTGGAGCACAGTTAGTTTCCTGCTCTTTGGAGGATGGGGTGCTTTTTGCCCAACCTGACTCCCATAGGCTATGGGTAAGCTGCTCTGGGAACATGTACACAGCTCCCTGCCAAGTGGCTCAGAGTGGGACATGGCCAGCTGCTACTGTGCTGAGAGCTGAATGTAATCTCAGTTTATCTTCCTCTGCATGGGACAAGGCTTCAGCAGAGTCCCAAGTTGCATAGTACTTAAATCAGACAAATTCTGCCACTGTAGTTTTTGTGTAGGTTCGGAGACAGATTGCTAGTGCTTTCTACTCTGCTATCTTCCCAGAATCCTTGCCCTTTAAATGATTCATATACTTCAAATTTAAATCCCTTAAGATATGTAACTCAGACTTGTAAAAACCAGGTTTTTAAAAAAAGTAGATTACGCATACATGTGTCAGAAATTCAAATGACTTTGGAATAGGTACAGTTTCTTCTAAGTTATTCCTATTGAGACAGTCTCTTGTATCATTTTTTGCCTCAGAGATAATATCCTTATGGAAATAGTTTGTTCATATAAATGCATAGACACCCATATTTCTTTTTTCCCTTTTGTTTTTGACACAATTGGCCGTGTATTTATGGGGAATGACCTTTATGCCTTGCCAGGAGAAAAGTTAGGATACATTATGTAATATATATAGACTGTTTTTTAATAATGATTTCTTAGTATTCCTTGGTTCTAGACAGTGCATACTTTATTTGATGAACATTTAGATTGTTTTCAACCACTTGCTATTGATGGCAGCCATATCATAGCATTTATTGCACATGTTTTATCTATAAATTAAGTTTATCTATAAATTAAGCTGAGTGCAAAGGATATGTGGTACATTCTGATAAATACTGCCAAATTAATCTCTAAAGAGGTTGTGGCAGTGTACAACACACTAGGCATTGAAATGTGACTGCTCTTACTGATGAAAAATACCACTAATTATTATGTATCTTGTGCCTTCTTTAAACCTACTGCTGTTTGTTGCTACTTCAGTTACAACAACCATAAATTGTAATAAGTACAAGTTTCTTAAAAAAAAAAAAACAAAAAAAACAAGTTTCTTATTTTCTCCCTTGCCTCCTACCCAACAAAAATATATTAGCTCAAACTTTACACTTTGCAAATTGCTGCTTACTGCAGCCTCCATGAAGGCAAGAACTTTTGTCTATTCCATTCATTGATATATCCAGTGTTCATTGAGCTGTGTTTGGCATTAGTCATAGAATAAATTTTCATTCCCTAATAGTTTTCCTTCATTTATTTAGTTTTTCTCTTTTCAACAAAGGTATTTTTAGACAGTAAAATAATTGACCTTGGGCTTTTTGTGGGATTATTTACTCATTAATGAACTGTTGCAGTATTGTTGAAGTAATTATTACTGCTGGTTGGAGTTGTTTTCAGTTAATCAATAATTCTTAGACTACAGGAGGAATGGTATTTTTAACTTCTGGAAGTAGAGCCCTTTTCCATTTTCCTGTTTATTTTATTTGTTTATGTTTGTTCACACTTCTGTCTTCCAGTTGAACTTTGTTCTTCTGTGTTTCTTAAATAAGTTGCTTAAGAAATAGTTATAGGACAGAACCTTCTAGCTCTGTCTTAATATAGTATGAAATATAATTTTGGAATGGAATAAGCCTAGAGGCTTTGTCCTATGTAAAATTTAAAAAGTAGCCATAATTTCCTCTTTAATCCTCCTCACATATCTTCATTATGTATATGTGTGCTCAGTCCGGTCCAACTCTTTGTGACCCCATGGCCTGTAGCCTGCCAGGCTCCTTGTCCATGGAATTTTCCCAGCAAGAGTACTGGTATGGGTTACCATTTGCTACTCCAGGGAGTCTTCCTGAGCCAGGGATCGAACCCACATCTCTTGCATCTTTAGCATTGGCAGGCAGATTTTTTTACCTCTGTACCACCTGGAAAGCTCTCATATGTTAATTATGCATAACAAAATTAAAAGTGTTTCTTTTCTTATAACACATCAAATTTAGTGCTTTTTCTTGAGATAATCTGCCAGTTAGTGCTTATATGTAGTCATCTAAAATGCTATATGTCCTTTAAGAAAGTAACAAAGGATTTCTAATTTCTTCTAAAGGCGGGATCCACAGCACCATTGTTCATTGACCATCCAGTAGAACCTGAGTCAAATGCAACAGATGGCATAGAATTGTTCGAAGACAGTCAGCTAACCAGTCGCTCTAAAGCAATAGCAACAAAAACCAAAGAGATTGAACAGGTGAGAATCCTGTCTGCTAAAGTACAAAAGCTTTTGTTCATTTTGTACATAATAGTTACAGTAAATATTTATTGAATAAATATGTTTCATTTTATCTTTTTTCATTTATGACCCTGAATTTAAAACATTCTAAAAAGTGTTCAATTTGATTTCACTGTAATTGTGATCAGTTTTGTTTCCCACCCCTGCTTACTTTTTTTCTTTTAATAAAAAGCAAGCTTCTATTTTAGAGAATATTCTAGTTAGTGTGGAACAATTAAAAAACTACTAAGCTCAGTAGAAGTGAGTTGAAAGAAATACTAAATATACCAAAATGTTAGCAAATGTTAGTTTTGAATACTGGGAATACAGATGTTTCTTAATGGTTTTCATTATACCTTTAATCATTTTTCAAATATTAAAGAAAAAATAAAGGATAGGTATTTAAATCTAATTTTTAATGATATCATTCTGAAAACTCAGGATCTTATTTTTAATAGATTGAATAGATTGCTTAAGGAATCATTATAGGATAAAACCTTCTATCTATGTCTTAATACAGTGTGAAATATAATTTTGGAATGGAATAAGCCTAGAGGCTTTGTCTTTTCTAAGATTTAAAATGTAGCAGCCCTTTCCTCTTTAATCCTCCTCACATATGCTCATTATGCATAGAAAAGTTGAAAGTGTTTCAATATGGAAATATTACCTACCTTATAGGGTATTATCACTTTATGAGAATTAAATGTAGTAAATATAAAAGGACTTTATAAAATGTAACATGTTGTACAGATGTTTGTTTTTGATGTTGTTACTCTCTAATGCCTTGAATAAATGTTATTATATTGTTATAGAATCTTCTAAGAACTATTGGAAATTAAGAACAAAATTAAACCTTTTTGCAAGGTGCTATTTCCACATCAATTAGAATCTATTTCTGTTGGTTAAATAGAAGATCTTATTTAAATCCTAGATATGATAGTGCAGCTTATGTTGATGCCAATCTAATGCAAAAGATAAGAACCCAGATAGGAAATTTGTCAGTAAGCCAATAGAGTTTCAAAACAGGATTGGTTAGCAGTGTCAGATGCTTGGAGGAGTATAGGAAAATGGAGACAGAAAATCCTGTTTAACTTGGCTATATGAAAGGTAAATTAGTACCTTTAAAGATATCAATTAAATGAGAGTAAAATAGTTTTCTCACTAGGTGAATCTTCCAGTATGAATATGTATATCATTATTATTGTCTTTTTACTCTCACTTATTTTCCTTTTTAGCTTTTCCCCCTCTGCCATTTGACATATGTTTGCTTGTCTCCTTTACCATATGGAAACTTCATGAAAGAAAGGGCTTTGTTTTAAGAGCATAACTGGTAGAAAAACTTGACTGACCTCCCTGTTGGAAGGGAGTATTGGGTTGTTGTTTATTAATCTTTGTACTATCTTTTCTTGTTATTAATCATAGTTTGATCTTGACTAGTCAGAGGTAGAGCCTAGCTTAGCAGCACACAAAATTTAGTATGAAACCAGGTTTTTATATACTTTATAGATACCCATATATGTTTGACATGTAAGTTTGACTATATTTCTGTTATCATCTGCCCATTGTTAAAACACATGAAAAATCTGATACTGAAGCTTATTGTGAAAGGAGAGATGACCTAAAGAAAGAAAAATAAATCTAAAAGGTCATTACTATATTCTGATGCATTAGAAAAGTAAAACCATTATAAAATATAGAACTTAATGATATTAAATGTTGGAATGTAGCTACCATGTTTTGGCTGAGGTACTTTAGTTTTCATATATTGACAAGAAAATCAATCCAAAGTTCCTCAAAAATGTCACAAAGCTAGGAAATAATAATACATAATTATTTTACAAATCATGTCTTAACATTATAGTGAAAATGAAAAAATTAGTTTTAAGGGGGTTTACTTCCCATTTTCTCCATTTCCAACTTTCGTACATTCATTTTTAGAGATTAAAGACCAGATGGATAGGAATATTTTAAAGGTTTTATATTTTCCATATGCTTGAAATACTGCATGATTTAAAATATGAATAATAGCCTCCCCCAAAAGGGCCTGCATAGATGAGGCCAACAAATCAAGCTTAGAATAATGTAGGAATGTAAATGTTGGTGTTATAGCAAAGTTGCTTTTTCTCCTTGTATGTCTAGTACAGTATGTTCACATATAAAGATAAATATCCACATATAGCCTTTTTTAAAGGCTATAAATTAGGTCCTTCAGCCCTTGAATCCTAAGAAAGTCATTCACTTGAGGCAGTATTGCAATATATAATAAGCTAAATCTTCAGACCAAAATTTAATTCAAAGGGCCTACAAATGTGGCTTATTTACTGTTCAAAGTCATGTATATGGAAATAGATTGGATCAGAATCACTTCAATAAGAGTGGATTTATGTTCTTTGCCATTTTATTGCCATCTCATTCTTGGGCATATAATAATTTGGTAGGATGGAGGTACAGGTGCCATTTTAAAAAGCTTACAGCTGGTAATCATATGGCAGAGAATCACTGATCTAAAATCTTTGAGCCAGAAGACATCAGATTGCATCTCTGAATATTGTGTTGCTAGAGATCATTTGAATCATCTCACTTTCACATGAATATCTTTTAGTGAATATGATTCATTCTCTTGTTCCAGCACATTTATCCTCCTTATGCTTTGGATTCTCTGGTATATCTTTTCCCCCTTATTTTTATTTCCCCTGATATCTCCTCTTACCCGATTTGGGCCACAGTTTACATTCAATTATGGAAATACTTTCCTAGGCTTCCTGGCTTCTGAGCTTTGAGGGGCAAACTTCAGAACTACTTCTGTCATTATGGTAATTCCTAGAGAGATCTAACCTACAAAATTATAGATGATTCATATTCTGGTTCAAGTGTTTACAATTTCATTAACCTCTTGTCATATATCCCACAAGCCCTCACATACCGACTGTTACTGAACTGTTTGGTTTGAAAGTCCATCATCCTACTCCTTGCTTTATTACTAGTGAGGAATCTTGTCTTTTAACAAATTGTTATTTTGAATGAAGCACACAAATTGAAATCCCCTGTTATTATATAACTTCTTTGCTCTATTGTACCTTTAGGGATAAAACAATATTTACTATTAACTCTTTGGAATTGCCTTGTTTTAGATTTACAAAATCCCTCATATTTTGATAAAATTGTACTTAGACATAGCCTCTCAGTGAGATCCTCTGTTTTCTTGGGATCCTGGCATATAATATTTAAGTCTACTTGTAATCCCACTGGCAAGATCAGACTTAGTTTCTTCTATCTTCTTCTTTCTTCAGATGGAATCCAGTGAGTATACACACGTGTGTATATACATGCATACAGACAAAAAATGTGCGTGTACATGGTTGACCTAGCCGATCATATGACTAAGAGTGTCAGGGTGGCTAAAATCCTCCTAAGGACACAGAAGGTTGTAGAGAAATAGGTACTTAACAAAGCAGTATAAGGATAGTGGGTGTATGAAGTGAAAGTGAAAGTCACTGAGTGGTGTCTGACTCTTTGCAACCCCATGGACTGTATAGTCCATGGAATTCTCCAGGCCACATTACTGGAGTGGGTAGCCTTACCCTTCTCCAGGGGATCTTCCCAACCCAGGGATTGAACCCAGGTTTCCCGCATTGCAGGCAGATTCTTTACCAGCTGAGCTATCGGAAGCTGAAGATTATTGAGTTCTTTTGCCATGCCAACTAGTCTTAAAAAAAGAACCTTTCATCTCTTCACTCTCAAGGCACAGCGCTTATATTGTGATTCTCTGCCTTTATTGTACATCTAGGGGGCTTTTACAAAGAAGAGCTTCATGGATTTCAGCCATAAATATTCTGGTTAGTAAGTTGTCAGAGCTTCTCAAGCTTCAGTGTGTTGTAAGTCACTGGGGGATCTTGTTAACATACAGGTTTTCATTCAGTAGTTCTGGAATGGGGCTTGAGATGGGAATATCTGGTATTCTCTCAGGTGATGCTGATTTTACTAATAAGGAATTGAAAGGAAGTGACTGTATTTCCATAAGTTCTTCTATTGTTTCTGGGCTTCCCTGATGGCTCAGTGATAAAGAATCTCCCTACAGTTCAGGAGATGCACGTTTGATCCCTGGATTGGGAAGATCTCCTGCAGGAGGTCATGACAACCCAATCTCGTTTTCTTGCCTGGAAAGTCCCATGGACAGAGGAGCCTGGTGAGCTACAGTTCCTACGGTTGGAAAGAGTCAGACATGACTGCAGCAACTTAGCATACATACATAGCTTTTAATGTGCTGAAAGTGATTAATTACCACCTTTTATGTAAGACATCTTATACTGTTTTTTAATTGTGGTATAATTAACATGCAATATAATGTGTAGACCTTAAGTATTCAGTTGGATAAGTTGTAACACTTCGTAAAGATCACCCAAAACAAATATTAATGAAAGTATTTTCTATTCAGATATGCAGTTGATTATATTGACAGCAATAAGGTTTAATTAGGAACTAAAGTTATGGTTATATATCAAAAGCATGTCCTTTGGCTTAGTTTAAATATTGTCCAACCCATCTATTGAAAAATGTATTTTAACTGATAAAATACCCAAGGATAGAATTCAAAAGACACAAGAGATTATGCGGTGAAAAACAAGTTTCCTTCTCACCCATAATTTTTAGCTGCCTAGTTTCTTTTCCCATTGTATAGATAAACTGATAAGTGATACATATGTATATGTGTATACAGAGTTTACATACAGTATTTATGTATGTGTGTGTACATGTATACATACCCTGTTGTGTATGCACATAGTATACACACACACAAATACACCTCTGGAACATGTTTGATTCAGGTGAGTAGAGATAAAAGTTGGTGTGTGTGTCTTCATACTTTTTCTTTAAATACCATAGCATACTGTCTACCCTGTTCAGTGTTTTAGTGACCATTATATTTCAGTATATATATCTAATATAACTAATCCCCTATTAATAGACATTTATAATCC